TACGACAAGTACTGCTGATTGCTAAAATGAATGTGCCGTCCGAGGTCATATGGATCGCTTCGCGATTTGCACGACCTGATGGGAACTCTTGGGGTGCTGTGTTGTGCTGTGCCGTGCAGTGCAGTGGAGTGCAGTGCGATGCAGTGCAGTGCCACGAAGTGCGGTGCGGTGCGGTGCTCTGCTGTGCTGTGTTGTGCTCTGAACGAATGACGAATGTATGGAATGAAGTATGTATGTAATGAATGATGAATGAAATGTACCTATGTTGTAGGTATGTATGGAAAATGTAACGAACGAACGTAGGGATTTATGTGTACGGACGTATGTTGTACGAATTCATACATATTGATAATATATATATATAATATATATATATAAATATATATATATATATATATCTATATATATAGATATATATATATATATATATATATATATATATTTTTATATATGGATTTTGTCGAAATCCACGCTAGCAATTGAAAATCAACTTAGACGTGGATTATAATCCATCCAAATCATTGAAATCAATGTGAAAATACATGATTCGTTTATTTTTGAAGTGTATATCCAAAGGAAAGCTTAAAAAGCGAATGGATTATGATGATTCAGTGCATTATTATACACTGTTTGAGCCTCTGGGACCGGATCCACCGGATCTGTCCGGAAACGGTGCCGGAGGCCGCTCTGGGCTCCTCTGGGCACCTCCCCCGGGGCCGGTTTTGTGAGGATGTCTCAAGCGAGGGCGCCGGTTTGGGATTCGTCATCCGGATCCACCGGATCTGTCCGGAAACGGTGCCGGAGGCCGCTCTGGGCTCCTCTGGGCACCTCTCCCGGGGCCGGTTTTGTGAGGATGTCTCAAGCGAGGGCGCCGGTTTGGGATTCGTCACCGGATCCACCGGATCCACCGGATCTGTCCGGAAACGGTGCCGGAGGCCGCTCTGGGTTCCTCTGGGCACCTCCCCCGGGGCCGGTTTTGTGAGGATGTCTCAAGCGAGGGCGCCGGTTTGGGATTCGTCGGCGGATCCACCGGATCCACCGGATCTGTCCGGAAACGGTGCCGGAGGCCGCTCTGGGCTCTCCCCCCGGGGCCGGTTTTGTGAGGATGTCTCAAGCGAGGGCGCCGGTTTGGGATTCGTCGGCGGATCCACCGGATCCACGGATCTGTCCGGAAACGGTGCCGGAGGCCGCTCTGGGCTCCTCTGGGCACCTCCCCCGGGGCCGGTTTTGTGAGGATGTCTCAGCGAGGGCGCCGGTTTGGGATTCGTCGGCGGATCCAGCGGATCTGTCCGGAAACGGTGCCGGAGGCCGCTCTGGGCTCCTCTGGGCACCTCCCCCGGGGCGGTTTTGTGAGGATGTCTCAGCGAGGGCGCCGGTTTGGATTCGTCGGCGGATCTGTCCGGAAACGGTGCCGGAGGCCGCTCTGGGCTCCTCTGGGCACCTCCCCCGGGCCGGTTTTGTGAGGATGTCTCAAGCGAGGGCGCCGGTTTGGGATTCGTCGGCGGATCCACCGGATCCACCGGATCTGTCCGGAAACGGTGCCGGAGGCCGCTCTGGGCCCCTGTGCTCCCCGCGCCGGGGGTGAGGATGACGGTAGTTCCACAGAAACTCCCTCAAACCAACATGAAGCGCGGGACGCACAGGGAGGGGGTTCCCGCCTGAGACTTCTTCACAATTCACTCAGTGACGAGGCTCCCGCTTGACAGATTCAGGCCTGAGGAGCCCAGAAGTGGTGACAGTTACACATTGCCGATGACCCGTTCGGATTACCAGCATGAAGTGCGGGACCCATAGAAAGCGGGTTCCCGTCTGAAACTTCCTCACAATTCACTCACAGACGAGGTTCCCGCTTGATACTTCCTGCAAATTCAGGGCTGAGAACCCCAAAAGTTGTGACAGTTACAAGTTGCCGATGACCCGCTCGGATTACCAACATGACGCACGGGACCCATAGGGAGGGGGCTCCCGCGTGAGACTTCCTTACAATTCACTCACAGACGAGGCTCCTGCTTGATACTTCCTCCACATTCAGGTCTGAGAACCCAACAAGGACGACAGTTACAGGTTGCCGATGACCCGTTCAGATTTCCAACATGACGCGCGGGACCCATAGGTAGGGGGTTCCCGCCTGAGACTTCTTCACAATTCACTCACAGACGAGGCTCCCGCTTGATTTTTCTTCCAAGTTCAAACCTGAGAACCCCAAAAGTGGCGACAGATACAGGTTGCCGATGACCCGCTCGGATTATCAACATGAAGTGCGGGACCTATAGGGAGGGGGCTCCCGCCTGAGACTTCCTCACAATTCACTCACAGACGACGCTCCCGCTAGATACTCCCTCCAAATTCAGGCCTGAAAACGCCAAAAGTCACGACAGTTACATGTTGCCGATGACCCGCTCGGATTATCAACATGAAGTGCGGGACCCATAGGGAGGGGGTTCCCGCCTGAGACTTCTTCACAATTAACTCATAGACGAGGCTCCCGCTTGATATTTCCTTTAAATTCGATCCTGGGAACCCCAAAAGTGGCGACAGATACAAGTTGCCGGTGACCCGCTCGGATTGCCAACATGAAGTGCGGGACCCATAGGGAGGGGGCTCCCGCCTGAGACTTCCTCGGGTGACATAAGCGAGTGACGGTGATGAGTGAGTGAGTGAGTGAGTGGGTGGTTGGGTGGGTGGGTGAGGCATGATGATGATGATGATGATGATGATGATGATGATGATGATGATGATGATGATGAATGGTGATGGTGGTGGTGCTGATGATGATGATGATGATGATGATGATGATGGTGGTGGTGGTGGTGATGATGATGATGATGATGATGATGATGATGATGATGATGATGATGATGATGATGATGATGATGAGAGGGAGAAGGAGAGGAGAGGGAGGAGGAGGAGGAGAAATCCTGCGCGGAGGGTGCGCAGAGAAAACAAACAAACACTTAGGATGTGGGGAAAAACTTAGGCTTTAAATGTGAAAACCGAAGGTTCCGAACCCTAGTTTTTTCCCCAACCATCCTGTGGTGTTGGGTCCTCGTTGTGAAGAGACGGTCCCCGCGTTCCACCTCTCCTCTCCTCTCCTCCTCCCCCTCCTCCCTCCTACCTGCGTTTCACCTACCCAGTACAGCGCTTCGAGGCACCATGGGGAGCTCCACCGAAGGCGCCAGTGGAAGGGGTCGCATGGCGGCCCCGCGTTTTGGCGCACCCCTCACACGGTTCGTGGCCCCATATGAGGTTCCACCGAAGGCCCCAGTTGCAGGGTTCGCATGGCGGCCCCGGCCCATTCTGGCGCACCCCTCACAGGGTTCGTGGCCCCATGGGGAGCCCCACCGAAGGCCCCAGTGGCAGGGTTCGCATGCCGGCCCTGCTCCAGTTTGGCGCACCCCCCTCACGCGGTTCGTGGCCCCATAGGGAGCCCCACCGAAGGCCTCAATGGCAGGGTTCGCATGGCGGCCCCGCTCCATTTTGGTGCACCTCACACGGTTCGTGACCTTATCGGGAATTCCATCGAAGGCCCCAGTGGCAGGGTTCGCGTGGCGGCCCCGCCCCATTTTGGCGCACCCCTCACACGGTTCGTGGCCCCATACCCCCATACGAAGCTCCACCGAAGGCCCCAGTGGCAGGGTTCGCATGGCGGCCCCGCGCCATTTTGGCGCACGGCTCGAGCGGCAGGGTTAGCATGGCGGCTCCGCCCCAGTTTGGCGCACCCTTCACACGGTTCGTGGTCCCATAGGGAGCTCCACCGAAGGCCCCAGTGGCAGAGTTCGCATGGCGGCCCCGCCCCATTGTGGCGCACCCCTCACACGGTTCATGGCCTCGGAGGGAGTTCCATCGAAGGCCCCAGTGGCAGGGTTCGCACGGCGGCCCCGCCGAAGACCCCAGTTCCCCCGCGCCATTTTGTCGCACCCCTCACACGGTTCGTGGCCCCATAGAGAGCTCCACCGAAGGCCCCAGTGGCAGGGTTCGCATGGCGGCCCCGCCCCATTTTGGCGCACCCCTCACACGGTTCGTGGGCCCAGAGGGAGTTCCATCGAAGGCCCCAGAGGCAGGGTTCGCATGGCGGCCCCGCCCCATTTTGGCGCACCCCTCATACGGTTCGCATCCAGACGCTCCCGCGCCCGTCGCCGCCGCCCCCCTCGCTCGCTGGTCTCTTCATTATCCTATTGTGTTAAATAGAGAGGGTTTCTACGCAAGGGTAAGGAATGTGAGGGAGGGGTCTGATGTCAAATGTTTTGCGGTGAGCCTGGGGGTGAAGTGAGAAGGGGCGGGCCTTCCCACAAGGCTCGGAAGTCCCCCGCCCTTCTAAGAAATTGTATGAATCGCTTCGCTCATTCCGCTGGCCAGTATTGCCTCGCCGCTGTCGTTTGTCGGGGTGTTGTTGTCAATGCGGTGCGGTTGGGCGGCTGCCATTTCTCGGAGGCGGTGGGTGGCGGGTCAGAGGCCTCACGGATGTTGGTTGGGCTCTCGTGGTTGGCTTCTCAGAGGCCTTTGGGAGGCAGTTTTGAGGCCTCTTGGGGGCCGTGTTGGGGCTTCGTGGGTTTCTTGGGGACCTCTTGGGGCTTCTTGGAGTGCTTGTTGGAGGCCCCTTGGGGCCTTTTGGTGGCCTCTGGGGGCCTCCTGGGGGCCTCTTGGGGCTGAAGGCTGGACTTTTCGGTTCCTGGTCCCCTTCTTGGGTGGGCCCCTCTTAGGGCCGTGTTGGAGCTCTCTTGGGCTGTCTTGGGCGCCTCTTGGTTGTCTTGGGGCCAGCTTGGGCCGTCTCGGGGCCCTCTGTCTGAATCCGCGGGCTCCCCAGAGCCCGTCTTGTCGTAGAACCCCATGTTCTGAAAGAGGAGCACCCTTTTGCTCCAGCACATGCGCTGCGGCGAGACGCCGCGGCTGGGGGCGCAACTCGCCCTGTCGTATAGATCCCGCCCTCCCGCAACCGAGCCTGAAAGGCTGCGGGGAGTGCAACATGCAAAGCTGAACCCCTCACATGATCTCCATCACAATCAAACCGGGGGAAAAGAGATCAGCTCCAGCATGTCCGTCTTGGCACCTCCAGATGCCGTTTGCTTGGTCGAATGGTGGTCCCGCTTCCTGCTCTCCAGGATCTCCTTGGCCTGGGAGTGGTCTAGCTCATTCGTCTCGTCGAAGGTCCCTTTTCCCGAGCGCCGACCTCTTCCGAGCCAAAAGGAATCGCTCATCATGAACAATCTTCCAACGCTGGTGCTTCAGGAAGGCGTGGAGCACGTTGAACGCCTGCAGGCTGGCCTTGATCATACCATCGGCTAGATGAGCATGGCTGTGCACCCAGCGAACTGAAGTACCACCCTCCTCGAGAGCCCGTCGAAGAGCCAGGGCTTCGATCGCCGTTCTCCTCTCGTCCAGTCCGAGCCCGGCCGACTCTGACTTCACGACGCCGTCGTAGAAAGCCTTGCAGTCCGTCACGAGGGTAGCCGGCACCTCCTGCAGGGCCCGTTGGCGGTTGTGGAGGTCGAAAGTTCCGAAGAACACCTCGTAGAGGACTAGCCTCACCATCATCTGCTCGCCCTCGGCGTCGCTGGCCTCCTGGATCTCGGCAGCAAGGCTAGAACTGGCGACCCTCTTCAGCTTGCGTGACCCCCAGTCCAGAAAAGTGAAGTTGGTCACGTCGTGGAACGGTGTCTCGGCGTAGCTCAGAGCTGTCACGTGTCCGCCTTGAGAATGACCGCCCGGTCGGCTAGCCCAGGCAGCGGCGCACCAGGTGTACACACAGAAATCAGGAGGTCCGTTCTGGCAGCCGGGTAGGGCGTGACGAAAGATCAGTATCCCATCGTTCTGGTTGGCCTTGACCATCTTGGAAATGTTGCTCGCGACGGTGAAGAGCTTGTAGTCGCCGTCTGGAATCTTGCTCTGCACGTCCGCGACCCAAGCTACACCCACGGGAGAGTATTCACGCCAAGCCATGACAGTGCACCGCACCACGTCCGAAGAGTACTCTGGTCGGCCTCAGTCAGCTTGTCATCGGAGCGCGCCTTGGGGTACTTGGGTGTTATCTCCTTGAGCTTGTCGATGTAGGCCCGCTGATGCTGGAAGAACCCCTTCTCGTTGGACTCTATCGTGACGCCGCACTGCTCGATGGAGTTGGGTCCGTCCTCCATGCCCTCCCAGGTGCCCCACGTGTAGAGGTTCTTGATGCCCCGCATGGCAGCCTTCCAGGATGAATGTCCTCGATCGCAGCAGAAAATGAAGTCGTCCACGTGGCACATGACAAACCCGATGAGCTCTTCCGTCGAAGGACATCGCAAGCATCAGAGGCACGGTTCGAGGTCGCAGGCCTGCAGTCCCAGCTTGGCGAAGTCCGACATGACCGTGAGCCGCCACTTCCTTGGAGCCTCTCCCATGCCGTAGCCTGGCTTCATTACCTGGAGCGCTTCACCTGGTTGAACGCCGAAGGCGGGGGAAAGGGCCTCGTCGGCCTCAACGAACAGGTCCTTCTTGAGGTCGTAGGCTTGGAGGAAGGCGCTGGTCACGTCGCCCTTTGACGATGTTCCAGTGGCTCGCGGCCGCGATGGTGAGCATCATGTTCCTGGCACGTCTGGGCGCCGTCGGTGACGCCGTCGGCTCCTTCCCGATGTCCTTTTGTCTGGTAGCCGAGGAGGACTAGACGGGCCTTCGCGGTTCCGTCGGCCTTCCGCGGCAGCACCCAGCGGCACCGGATCACATCCGCAGGATCCTTCACCTCCGAGGCGGGCACCGGCCAGGTCCTTGGTACGGCTTCCAGTTAGCGACCTCCTTCGCCATGACGGCTCGGAACTCGACCTTCCCCGAGGGTGCTAACTTCCCCCAGTGGAACTCGATATTGTCCATGCGCTTCTGGTTGGCGACGAAGCAGTCCAACATCGGGGAGGAGTTACGGCGGCCCCTTGGCTGTCCGTGAGCTCGGGCTCCAGCATCTCGAAGTAGACCGTCATGTTCTCGTCAACGAACTCAAAGCCGGCGAGCCCAGACTCTTTGAGCGTGTTCACATCTATGAATAGATCGCCCTCGCTGTTCGCCTGGTCCACACCGCCCCGGCCTTTCGTGTCGAAGTAGGGGCCTGGTCGGGAGGCGCGTCGTTCAGCGGGTGACTGACGGCGGGTGTCCTCGCTCTCCTCGGAGCACATGCGCCATCGGCGACCAGGGGGGGCCTCTTCAGGTGTTGGCATTGGTTCCTCAGGCGAAGATAGTCGAGGAAGCTCGGGCGCGGGCTGCTCGATGGTCGAGGTGCTGGAGGGCGTCGGAGGGGCGGCGGGCTCGCCTGCAGGCTCCTGAGATCCTGGGACGTCAGCTTCTAGTCCAGATGCCTCATCCTCCATTGGCTCGCCGGCGGTTGCGCGTGCCTGCGTCTCGGGGGGCATCGCTGTCTGAGGTTCGCAGCGCTGGATGGCTGGACGGCTCTCGCTGGTGAGGTCCTCGAAGGTTCCGCGCCGAGCCACCTCCATCAGGTCCGACATGGAAGCGCCTCTTTTCTCCATGTTGGTCAACTCGACGACCGCGCGCTCGACCTCAGCGGCGGGCCGCAACTGCTCGGGCGCACAGCGGGGGAGAACGTCGCCGCGTGAAATCCAAATCACCGAAGCAGGTCTCGAGGAGCCCGCCAGAATCCGTTGCTCTGGTACCGGGACTCGAGCAGGGCCGCACCACGTGGCTTCGACGGCACCACGCCCCTTCCGCCAGTGGTAGCAGTGCTCGCGGGTGTGCCGGCGAGTAGTGACGCGGCCGCGCTCGCGTTCGGAATGTCGACGACGTTCCGAGTACTCTACCTCGATGAAGGATTGTCTGGCATTGAGGCGCCGCCGCCCCCTGCTCTCGCCACTCCCGTCGTCGGCGATGGCGAAGGGGTCGCTCGAACCCAGGGCGCCGCCGATGCCGAAGGCGTGGGCGTAGGGGGAATGCCCCCCCACCTTGTCGAGGTCGTTGATGGCGTCGATGACCTGGCTAATGGCCTCGTCGACGTCGCAATCGTAGTTCTGCTTCCTGAACTTGATGAGCGTCCTCTTGAATAGCTGGATGCGTCGCTCGACCTTGCCCGTGAGCCAGTGGGCCTCACCAGGAGCGATGAACATGTCGATGCCACGAGAGCTGCGCCAACCCTTGGTCAACTCCGCACGGTGACATCCCTCAGCGTCACATCGGATAGGCCGCGGGGCTCGGTAGTGGTCGGCCCAGGAGCGCCAGGTCTCGACGACGTCGGCGGCGGACCAGTTGCTGGGCCGCTGGGACTTGTCGCCGCGGTTGGTCACCAGCGCGAGACGTGACCCCTCGTCCATGTCGAGAGTCAACAGGTAGATCGCGTCGTCCTTGGGGTCGGGCCACTCCAAGCCGTCACTGCCCTTTACTTCGAAGACCTCGGGGATCTCGATGCCTGCAGCGGTCCGAACGGCCTTCGGCAGCACGGAGGAGTTGCAGGCGTGGCACTTGAAGTTCTTCGCCATCTTCAGCACTTGGAGGCTGGCACCCGAGTTCTTCAGGATCTTCACCATCGTCCGAGCGCTGGGATGTCCGAGATTGCGATGAAGCCTGCTGAGGCGGTGCCCGATCTCCTGCTCCTCCCCGGTGCTCAGGTGGCCTCCGTCCTTGACCAGCTCCTGGCCGTCGCCCCCGTCGAGCTCGTCGTCGGACTCGACCTGGTCATCATGCTCGACGTCGTCGTCTCCCGCGATGTCCGTGTAGATCTGCTCGTCGGGCTTGGCCTGGTCATGAGGCTCGACGTCGTCGCCCCTTGCGATGTCCGTGTAGATCTGCACGTCCTCCACGCTGTCGCAGGTGAGGAGTGCCCGAGGGCCAGCAGCAGCTCCGCCTCCTGCGCGAAGGATGCGCTTCGCCCAGGCCCTTCACAGAGCAGCTGGATAGAACGCAGTCGAGGTCACGACCTTGCCGCCGATGATCTCGCCGCGCTCGTGGTTGTCATGTCGGCCTGGACGGTTGCTGCACCTCTTGCCGATCGCCTTCTGCAGCTCGGGATCCGCGGTGCAGATCTTCCAGACCTCGGGCAGCAACAAGCCGCTGCGAGGGCAACGTAGTCCGCGGCCGCATCCCGACACCAGCGCCTCGTAGGTCTGCTCCTTGATGCGCTGCAGAGAAGCAGAGCGTGACCAGCTCTGCGAACGTTGAGGCTGCTCGAGGTCGACCCCCGTCCCGTGGCGCTGCAACCCGATGGAGAAGAGGGTCTCGCATCCTGCCTGTATCCGCCTGGCCTTCTGCACCTTCCTGCGCAGCTCCTCTCGGTCCTCCGCGGTCTTCTAGTTCCAGTTCTGCAGTAGACAGTCTGCAGCGCAGGGAGGGCTCATCACGATGCGTCGGGGCCGGTGTTGGCGCATCCAAAGAGCCAGGCGTCGGACGCCGGACTTGGTCGCCATGTCGAAACCGTCGTGCACTCCAGCGCGAAAGGCGAGCCCGCCCTGGTCGATCACCGCCTGAGCCAAGGCAGAAGTAGGCGGCGCGCAGACCTCCAGGGTGTCGCATCGGCCCTGGCGGACTAGAAAGTTGATGTCGTCCCTGATCTCCTTCTTGTAGCCGAGGTCGTACTGGTCGATAGCCTGCTGCAAGACGTCGAGGTCCTCGTGATTCAGAGCTGCTCGCGTCCCCTTTTTTCGCTGTCTCCTTATCGGCTGGGTCGTCCACCATCTCGAAGGACTCCGATGAGGGCTCGCTCGCCAGCCTCTTCTCCCTGGTCAGCCCGTTGAGAGGTAGCCAGGCTGGATGCGCTGGCGCTGCCCCCTCCTGTGGCCGCTGCTTCTTCCGACATGGAGGCTGGTACCCGGCGTGGACGTTGATGGATGGCCTCCCTTCCTCCAGCAGGAGGCACTTGCGTGACGTTCCGCCCGTGCATGAGCATCCGTTCCGCGTGCGTCCCGGCCGGCCGCAGCAGTCGCACCTCCTCGCCTTCGCCAAGGGAGCCGTAGAATTCGTTCCCGAAGCGTTGGCAGTCACATCCTTCGGGGACAGAAGCGGACTCGCTTGGGAGTGCACGGCCGTCGGCCTGTCCCTGAGCTGTCAACGACGTCGGCAGCTTCTGACTGAATGGAATTGTCTTGCGAAATGCAGGGCGCGGCGCTGAAGCCGAAGGTGGTGGTGGCACACCCAAAGGCGACGAGCCCGTGCCATGGCGGCATGCCGCTCACCGGATATGGAAGGTTATGAAGCTTATCTGGATGCATTCCCTCATGAGCCGAAAGCGCTCGGCACGCAGCTCAACAATCAGCACCCGGAGGATTATCAGGAGGATGTTCCGTCATGTTGGGAGCAGAATTCCTGAGGGCCTTGTAGAGGTGTCTCCAGGTGGGTCCTCGCATGTCTCGTAGAGGCTCTCAGGGCGCCCGAAGATGTCTCCCAAGATGTCCGCGACAGTAGCTTTGGTTTTGGCGTCGTAGAAGTCATCGTCGGGGATGTTGTAGGCGCAGTAGAAGGACCCGAAAGACAAGAGGTTAGAGGGGGGGGATCTTCTCGGATAATCTGGAGGCTTCTGAGCTTCGTCCTGGCGCACTGGAGCCCCGGTTCCTGTGGAGGCCTTTTCGGGGACTCGGTGGACACCTCGGGAGCTGTTATCAGTGGGAATCAACTTGGGCCCCCCCAGTGGACACGGAGAACGTGTTTTTCTCAAGTCCACCAGGGGGCGCTGTCCCTAGCTCGGACACGACAGCCGCACCCGACAGAAGCTCCGCCGAGCCCGCCAGCTCGGCCCCGACCTTGGACTCGGGCAGGTCGCTGACATCCACCAGGGCCTTCTCTTTGTGCAGCTCGGTGATGTTCGGGATGCCGCGAGGGACGTGCTGCCGCCACGCTGAAGTCGTCGCGTTGATCGCCAGGTGTCCGCTCGGCATCTTCCAGCACTGGAAGATGTTGCTTGAGAGCTTCGGTAACATCAGGTAGCCGTTCCCGCAGTCAATCAGGGCGCTCGCGTAGTCAGGTCCGAGAAGGTCCATCCCGATCAGCAGTGGCACCTCATTGTCCATGATAGAGATCTCTACCTTCTCCAGCCCGTCGCCGAGAAAGATGTCGCCAGTCATGGCCCCCATTGAACTCTTGCGATTTCCGTCGCCGAAGGTGAAGTACCGCGTCAGCTCCGCCAAGTCGAAGTTGATGTCGTAATGATCCTTCATGTCGCAGGCCAGGTTCTCCGCCATCGTGACCCCGATCAGGCTCCGAGTAGCGCCGCAGTCCAGGATCGCCCAGACGCCGCCCTCGTCGTCCAGTAGGAGGACCAGCCCCCCAAGCTCGAGGAGCGCGAACGAGGTGGTCTCGTTGGGCTGGGGCCTGCCGCGCGCCGTGTGCCTCTCCGGGCAGTCCTTTGCCCGGTGCCCGAACTTGCGGCAGGCCAAGCACCTCATCCTACGCATGTCACGCACAGGCTCCCTCTCGCCGCCAGCACGGGGCTTGCGCGGATGACCCCGAGCAGCTCGTGGACGAGAGGGTCCGTCAGGAGGTCGAGGTGCCAGCACGGGGTAGTAGTCCAGCGCCACCTTCAGGCGCCTGATGAGGTCCCGAGCGTCCTTGAAGTTCCTCCCCATCTGCTTGAACTCCGCGTAGATGCCGCTCTCGCCCTCTTCGGTGTCCTCCCGGCCGCCCAGCATCATCGCGTCGTCCTCGTCGGCCAGAGTCACCAGCTGATCAACGATGTCAGCGAGCTCGGACCAGTCACTGTCGTTGTGGTCGACGTCGTTGTCGTCGGCCTCGCCGTTAGAGGCCCGAGCACCTGTCCTTCTTCTCACGGACCCCGTCGAGCTCCTTCAGCGCCTCCAGCGGGCACTTCGTGCACAGCGCCTTGTAGGTCTCATCGAAGTCGTAGTCGCCGCCCGCCAAGGCAGCGATCTCGCCGCGCGCGACTGGTGACAGCCGCGATCGCCGCAAGTACCACCACGTCCGCAGAGGCCCCGAGATGACCTCCGTCACGGCGCCGTCCACCGCTTTCAGCTGTGCCAGCAGGTCCCGCTCGCGGGCCTCCCAGCGCGCCGCCCAGTCGGGGATGCCCTCCCCGATCTCCCGCTGCAGCTTGTCGAAGAACTTATCCGCTGAGGCCCCCATCTCGCTCACACTGGACAGGTCGAGCTTTGAGAGGAGGAACTCGAGACGCGCTGCCAGCCGTCGAGCTTGCCGCTGTCGGAGACCTCGTCGATCTTCTCGACGTCGGGGCATGCCGGCGCCCGTCGGCGCGCCCGGGCCCCCAGCGCGCGCACCAGCTGGGGCCCCGCCACATACCTGCCCGGGAGCTCGCAGCTCTTCGCGAACAGCCCGACGTCGAAGCGGCACGATAGTAGTTTGTCGGGCTCTCCATCCCACGCGGCAACGTCGAGGCGTAGTCCACCTGCGGCGTTGGCCGCTGCACCACCTGAAGACGCCCCACTCGCCATTGCCGTAATCATACAGTTCCGCTACCAATCTGAATCCGCGGGCCCCCCAGAGCCCGTCTTCTCGTAGAACCCTATGTTCTGAAAGAGGAGCGCCCTTCTGCTCCAGCTCATGCGCTGCGGCGAGACGCCGCGGCTGGGGGCGCAACTCGCTCTGAACCCTAGGGCCCCCCAGAGCCCGTCTTGTCGTGGAACCCTATGTTCTGAAAGAGGAGCACCCTTTTGCTCCAGCAAATGCGCTGCGGCGAGACGCCGCGGCTGGGGCCCTCCCGCAACCGAGCCTGAAAGGCTGCGGGGAGGGCAACATGCCGAGCTGAACCCCATCACGCGATCTCCAGCACGATCAAACTCATGAAGGGATCGGCTCGGTTCGGTTCGGTCCGGTTCTGCAGCCGGGTCGGTTTTGCTTGGTCGGTTCGGTTTGGCATCGGTCCAGTTTCGGCCGGCTCGGCTTGGGCCTGCCGCCCGTTCGGTTCGGTTCCGGTTTTCGCGCCTTCTGAGAAGGCCCTCTCCTTCTCAGCTCCCCCCCTCGCGCGCCGCCGAGATGTGACGCGAGCGCACCTGGCTTTCCGCTCTCCCCCATCGCCCTCCTCCCCCCCCCAGGCCGCTTCATGCACGAAGTGGTGGTCATCATCTGAGATGGCATACGTTTCGCAATATTGAATTTGGTATCCTCCTTGTCGAGGCTGCGGCCTGTACGCCGTGCCCTACTCGGCACGGGCGCGCACTCGAGAGGAAAGCACACGACTCTGGCGTTCGCTTCGCTTCGCTTCGCCTCGCCTGGCCGAGCTCCTGCTCAACCTCATCGCCACGCACATCATCCCCACCTTCTCGCTCGCCTTCGAGGAGGCGGAGGAGCTCCGCCGGGCGGGGCCCGCCGGCCTTCCCTCTGCTGCTCGTGGCCCCCTGCCTCCCCCCTCCGCCCTCCCCCTCCCGCGCTCCTCTGCCTCCCTCGCCCTCCCCCCACCCCTCGCTCTGCCATCCTCCCCCCTCCACTTTGACGCCAGGCAGGCAAACAAGAGGCGGGGCCTGTTGCGTCTTGGGATGATGCAAACATCGCCGATTCAGGCGCGGCGAAGAACACATTACGCCTGTCTGGCGCAGCAGAGGTCAGCAAAGAGAGCAGGCTAATAATGTGGGCCCACAGGGGCGCAGAGTATGCGCCAGCCAGGCGGTGTGAGAAGAGGAACGACCGATCGATCTGCAGAGTAAGCTTAAGCAAACCAGATTAAGGAGGACACCGAACGAGGGCGAGGCTGAAATTCACGTGCAAGCTGGCCTGCTAATTGCTTGGCTGTATCGTCCTCCATGGTTTCAGCGAAATACAGGAGTAGCTAGGCTACAGCTTAGGCTGATTGTGGCTGGTACAGTGAAGGAGACCCCCATGCCAGCCAATATGCAAACTCCACCCCAACCCACCATAGCAGGGGCAGGAATGCAATAAAACATCAGCGTGCTGCAGGGTGAAAATAAGGCGGTGAAACCATGGAGCAGGCGACGCATAACAGATAGTGAGGTAGCGCTACTCGACAGAAAAATGTGAGGCACACAGCTCCAACGCGACGGCATAACGGCTGTTCTTACATTTGCTGACAGGCTGGCCATGTCGGTACTGGTTGGCCTCTAGTAGGTTGAGACTGCTGTGCTTGCAAGGCTCTTGTTGATGCTGCGGTTACACCTACCCCACACCTTCACCCGTCAGTAACCTCCCCAGTATAGGTCACGTTGCATCAAAGGGCGAGGCTTAAAGCTGTAAAACAAGAGTGCGCACTTGGCGGCAATTCTTGGGCTGCTGCTCAGGGTTTCTCGGTACACCCCGAACCTCCATGGCCCCAGGACCTCGTCCTCGTCCTCCTCCTCCTCCTCCTCCTCCTCCTCCTCCTCCTCCTCCTCCTCCTCCTCCTCTGCTTCTTTCCCTCTCGTTCAGTCCGTGACCCTTCCGGCTCAGAGCATCTGCCCTGGGGGGCCTCCAGCCCCAGGATGTCTCAGGCGAGGCGCTGGCTTGAGCACTCCCAAGGGGGAGCCGCCAGGGGGTATAACATTCGCCCGTTCGCGCCCAGATTGGGGGGATGTCTCATGCGGTCTGCTTGTTTGGTGGGTTGGATTTGTGTGTTGTCATAGTAGAGTTGTGAGGATGTCTCGGGCAATTTGCTGATCTGAGCAATCCCAAGGTGGAGCCGCCAGGTGGTAGGACACTCGCCCGTGCGCGCCCAGATTGTGGGGATGTCTCCGGCGTATTGGCTTTTGGGTGGTTTGGATTTTGTGTGCTTTCAGAGCAGGATGTGAGGATGTCTCAGGCGAGGCGCTGGTTGTGAGCCCTCCCAAAGGGGAACCGCCAGGGGATATGACAGGCACACGTTCGCGCCCAGATTGTGGGATCTGTGCGTTTCCAGAGGCAAGGCGCTGGCTTCAGCGTGATTCTAGCTGCCGTCGTCGTCGTCGTCGCACCCGTCGTCCATTCGGACAATGTTTTGGCAGAGATGCGCATAGGGGGATCTCCGCGTGAAGTATTGTATCCTACGTCAAATATCCCACATCCTACTCCGTCATCGGTTTCTTCTGTCTCTGTCTCTGTCACTCATCTTTTCCATTCATACCCTATATATGACCCCGGGCTCCGGGCCCACAGGCACCCCCCCCAGATGGGATGGGTCGCAGGGTCACTCGCCCCCCCCCCTGATGGGATGGGGGGGGACGACCACGACAACGACGACGACGACGACGACGAAGACGACGGCGGCGGCGGCGGCGACGACGACGACGACGACGTCGAGGATGGCGACGACGACGACGACGGAGACGACGACGACGACGACGGCGACGGCGACGACGGCCACGGCGACGACGACGACGACGGCGGCGACGACGACGGCCACGACGACGACGACGACGGCGACGACGACAACAGCGACGACGACGATGACGACGACGGCGGCGACGACGACGACCACGACGACGACGACGGCGGCGGCTGCGGCGGCGGCGGCGCCGACCTCCGGAGCCTTCCGACGACGGCGGCGGGGTGGCCCAGGCCCTTACGACCTCCGGAGCCTTCCGACGATGGCATCAGCATGCGGGGGGGTGCCCCAGACCCTGGACCATATATCCTCTCTCCTGTTTCGTCCGCCGTCCCCCTGTGTTGTCCATCCTCCATCTTCCCACCTTCCTCCTATGTCCTTGCTATCTTTCTCTCTGTCTGTGTCCCTCTCTTCGCTCTCCTTTCTCCTATCTCCTCTGAGCTCCATCCTCCCTCCTTTGTCCAAATACGTCCCTCCTCATTTGTTTGTTTCTCTTTTTGTTTCTCTCTCTCTCTCTCTCTCACTCACCTCCATCCCATATCTCTGACATTTCTTTATTATCTGACCGCTATCCTCTCCTTCCCATCTCTCCTCCCTCAACCCCCTCCTGCCCCCTATTTCTTTTGTTTTCTTCATCCTCATATTGTCCTCCGACCCCCCTGGACCGCAGGAGTACACGATGAGGATCCCCCCGCGGAACACGAAGAGCGATTGGAGGGTGGGGGTCAAGAATGTAGCAGGGAAAGGGGGAGAAGCGGGAGGCGGGATGGGAAGAGGGGGCGAGCGATATAGGGAAGAAACCAACGGAAGTTTGTAGGAAAAGGGAGTCAGGAGGGTATGGGATTGGGAGGGGCTGCCAGGGAAGGGTGGGTGCGGAAAAGAGAAACGGGGATGGGCAAAGGAGTGGGATGGCGATGGAGGTGCCATCTTACCCCACAAAGCATCGAAACGACATCCACCATTTTCCTCCCCCCCTCCTCTTCCTCCCTCTCCTCCTCCTTCTCCCGCTTCCTCATGCTCCCAATCTTTCTGCCAGCGCCAAAGCAGTCAAAGAAGCACACCGGCACTGATCAGCATTGGAAGCGGGACGATGGAGAAGTAGACAAACACGACCCAGCATTGGAAAAGGAGGAGGAGCAAGAGGAGGAGGAAGAGGAGGAGGAGGACGAGGAGGAAGAGGAGGTGGGTTTTGAGGACAACGGGTAGGAGGATGAGGAGGAGAAGGAGGAGGAGGAGGAGGAGGAGGAGGAGGAGGAGGAGGAACAGGAGGAGGAGGAGCAAGAGGAGCACGAGGAGCAGGAGGAGGAGGAGGAACAGGAGGAGGATGAGGAGGAGGAGGAGGAGGAGAGGGGGAGGAGGACAAGCTAGGTGCGCTCGCGCCATATCTGACATCCTACCCCTCCCTCCCATCCCTTACCATGGCGCAGATCCCCTCTCTACTCGCTCAGTCGGATGTCGAGCAGGGCAATGATCCCGAAAGGGTACGCGATGCATTGTAGAGCACGGCATGGCATGGCGTAGAAGAGCACCGCAAAGCGTAGTATGAACCTAGCATTGCATTGCATGCCGTGGCATGGCACGGGAAATGACGCCAGCGCTGCAGCGGGAGCACGAGTCGAAACGAGCGGAAGCGCGGAAATGAGGCCAGCGCTGCAGCGGGAGCACGATTCGGAACGAGCGGAAGCACGGAAATGAGGCCAGCGCTGCAGCGGGAGAACGATTCGGAACGAGCGGGGCCCGAAAATGAGGCCGGCGCATCAGCGAGAGCAGCATTTTGAAAAAAATGCAGGCGAAAACCCAACTCCGGGGAAACCTGTGTTTAAACAAAACAGTACGCGGGGGGGGTCGGCGACTTTCAAACCGTCATCAGGGGAAGAGGGAGAGTAGTATTCATATTGAGTAATTGTAGAGGAGGACGACGAGGGAGGAGGGGAGGGGAGGGGAGGAGGAGGAGGAGGACGAAAAGGAGGAGGAGGACGAGGAAGCGGAG